GTATAAGGTATTTTCCCCTCTTTCCAGTATGTCTTCGTGGTGTAACGGTAACCCACTCGGAGAGTATTTGAGAGGTCCAGGGTTCGAGTCCCTGGGTCAGCATTGCTCATTTTTCATGTCTCTTGTTAAAAAAATCTAATGACTCTACAAGTAGCGCCTGAACTATAGGGGTGGTGGACGATAATTCGTCATACCAGGATTTGGCGAATGGGTCCCCTGATACCCAATCACCATTTGAAAGAAGGAGTATATAAGGTGTTTCCTCCCTCCTTTTCGCATGTCTTCGTGATGTGATTGGAAGCATAATCGACGCGTATTCGAGAGGTCAAACCCTCGTGTCTCGGATAGGACACTGCGCATTTTCACGCCAGCTGCTCAAAAAAAAAAAAAAAAAAAAAAAAAAAATTAATGACTCTAGGAGTAACGCCCGAGCTAAAAGGTGGTGGACAATAATTCTTCACCACCAGGATTTGCGGACTGGGTTCCCTGATCACCAGTCGCCCTTTAAAAGGGGTAGTAATAAGGTATTTTCTTCCTCCTTCCAGCATGCCTTCTTTGCGTAACCGTAGCACACTCGTCACCAATTCAAAAGTTTTAGGTTCGAGTCCTGAAGAGAGCATTGCACATTTTTCATGTCTCCTGCTTCAAAATAACCTAATGAGTCATCACCTGTGTTTTTTTTTCTTTCAAAAACTCGTGAAATCAAGCTTTTCATTTCACGCTTGAAATCACACTGACACTTGAAATCAAGCTTTCAAGCTTATAATTTTCTGTGAACTGCAATATTTAGGTCCAAAAATTGTATTACAGCTCAAACTTCATCTCTGGATTAAATTTCAAGTAGTGTCATCATTTGTGGTAGCTGTGAAAAGTTTCCATTGATTTAAAAGAAAATCTACTACCAGTTCGGTATCATCTACATAATATTTAGCATTTTACGGGAAAAAAATATCAGGAAGCCAAGTAAGTGGGGAAAAGTTTCATCATATCGTTTCTTTCCATAAATACATACAACATCTAACAGAACTAATAATAAATAAAAGGTACTTTTTCCACTGTTATGGAATATCATTCTTATTATATGAGGCAATTTATTGAAAATAGTATCACTTACCTATTTTTACTAGCAGCCAAATATTCTTACATGCACAAAATTAATACATCATATTACTTAATCGTATCGTATTAACATATCTGGAAAATCTTTCTCTGTCTCAACGATTTTACGTACGTCGTACATTTTGTAGATTTCATCAATATTTCAAGGTTTAGGAAGCAAAGATGAGGGGTCTTGCTCTCTTCTTCATTTTCTGAAATCTCAACTTTAATAAAGAAATGAACAAGGAATCTTTTGTTTGTCAGCAATACCACTTGTAAAAATGAGTTACCGACGCTGCTGTTATTCTTTAGCTTTGCATTTTTAACAGATTAAAGGCATTGAAAATCTTATATAAATTAAGTACAGATTTAAATTTTTAAATAAAAGTATAATATAACTGCAGCTTTACAGAGCAAATAAATTTAAGAGCAATGTTAAATTTATGTACTATTTAACATACAGTAAGATCACTTATGCCATTGATGTTAAGCGCTTTTCAATTTCATCTCAAAATTTAGAGCGCTTTCCGTTTGAGTCTTAAAGAACAGTTGTTCGAGATTTGCAAGAACTAACCGTTCTCCTTTCTCCTAATAAACTTAAAATAACTTTACATATAAAATTCCAAAGTGTCATATTTATTTTCAAAATCCGTAGAACTACAACAAACCAACAAACTACAACAATCATCAGATGGCTGCCACTCTTACAGTGACAAACTATGAAAAGAAAGATAACAACTGAGGCTGGGTTCTAACAATACTCCCACCTTTTCACTGATGACATGTACTTAACCAATCAAAACAAAATATAAAAAAATGCTGTCCACACAAATATTGAGGCTAAACAGTAAACAAAAGAAAAAATTAAGCTTTTAAATTTCTACTCTTAAATAACTCCAGTAGTGCTCAGGTTAGAAATCTAGATGGAATTTTAATTTGTCGTCCACTTCTATTCACGACAGTCTTAATGTCCTTTGATAAATCTGCAGCTGAATTATGCTTTGGTAATTTTGAGACTAAACTGTCTGCACCCTGCGTCTCAGTTTCATTTGCCTCATCTGACTCCGAAGATGAAGGTATGTCGAGAGGGAATATTCTTTGGATTGGTCGAACTAATTCTTCAGACATGGGTTTGACACGAACTACTCGAATGTTGCCGTCTTCTCCGGGGTATAGTTCAATCACCTTTGCTAGAGGCTACAACACCTTGCGTTTGTCATCACATTCGATAAGAACTATATCCCCGACTTTTATCTGTTGAGAAATCGGCACTGTAGTTGGACGTTGCACTAGCAGGCCGAGATATTCATTCCTAAATCTTTTTCTCAAGAGCTCTCGTAGATTTTGTAAATGTCTCAGTCTCTTGTTGAAATCAACTGTATCAAGATGATCCAAGTCAGGAACTCCAAAGACTGAAATTTCACCTAAAAACAAGGACGGTGTCAAAGGGACGAGAGCATCTGAGTCCTCTGACATATAAGTGAGTGGTCTGGCATTCACGGTTGCTTCACAGTCGCACAGCACACTCATCAATTCTTCATAATTCAGACATGACTGGCCTAGGAATCGACGCAAAAGCTTCTTAATCATTTGAACAAGTCGTTCCCAAAAGCCGCCACACCATTGTGCTGCGGGTGGACTGAACTTCCAATTCATCTTGTTTGTGGCGGCTTCTATCTCAATGGTATTACAATTAATCGATCTCAAGAGATTATTGGATCCGACAAAGTTGCTTCCCATATCGGTATAAATTATCGATGGCCTTCCTCTACGAGTAATAAATCTTCTAAGAGCAAGTAAAAACCCTTGAGTTGAAAGGGACAAAATCAGTTCCAAATGGACCGACATGAAAACAGCACATGTGAAAAGTAAAATCCAAGCTTTTCTTTTATCCTTCAAAATTAATGGGCCAGCTAAATAACGCCAACAATCTCAAAAACACGTGCATCTCTAATTCTGTTTTTGGTAGAGTAGCAGGCACAGTCTGTAGTCGTTTACCTCCATGTCTCCTGCACCTGACACATGCATATAAAGCTTTTCGAATCGTAGCTTTGCTTTTCAGGATCCAAAACGTCTCTCTAAGTGTAGACATCAGTACGTGAATTCCTGCATGAGACATAGAGAGATGTTTATCAATTATCAATTTCTCCACAATCTTATAATTCTTCGGATGTAACATCGGATAAATAAAATGTTCATAGTCTTTCCTTTCAGTCAACCTAGAGCTGACACGTAAAATGCCTTAATCATCTTTGAACACACTTATTGACTTCAGCTTCTTGATATCATTAGATGAAAAATAATCACGTTGAATAATCTTCACGAAAGATTTCTCAACTCTTGTCAACTCATAAACTTTTAACTCTATTGCTTCTCTTTCCTTTTTTCTCTTTTGGGTATTTCCTATGAATCTGTGTATCCACCCAATAATTCTAAGTATTTTCTTATACTTTGAAAAATAGCCAAAGAATTGTGAAGACATATCGCTGACATTGCTTAACGAAACTATAACTGCTTTACGTTTTTCAGTATTAACCTCTTCTTTATTATCGATTGCGATAGAACGAGGCCATTCTTCTTCCGACAGTGCCAACCAAGGTGGGCCCTCCCACCATCTTGATTCAATGAGTTTCTTCACAGAACGTCCTCTTGATGGCATATCGGCTGGGTTTTCCGCACCTGGTATATGATGCCAATTTTCACGATCCGATAGGATTCTAATTTCTGAAACTCTTGTTATTCACAAAAGTGATCCAAACTTCTACGTTCTTTATCCAGAATAGTGCTGTTGAAGAATCGGTCCAGTAATATTCCTTTGAAATTTCGACCTTAAGGTTCTTCTTGACAAATGAGGCTAATCGCACCCCAATAAGACAAGCAAGCAATTCAAGTCGTGGTATACTTATTTTTTTCAAGGGAGACACTGTTGCTTTGGCTTGTACTAGAGTCACTTTGACTTCTTTATTTTGACTTCTCAAATATACTGCACTTGCATAACATCCCTGTGAAGCATCGGCAAACGTATGCAAACTAAAAGATTGTCCTTCCTCCTGTAAATGAAAGTAGTCTGGGAATCTTCACAGATATAACAGGGTAATTCTTTGACCCACTTCAAGAATTTTCTTTTGATATCTTCAGGTAGCTGTGCATCCCAGCTCAATTTAGTTTCTCACCTTTTTTCCAGGTATAACTTTGGAAGGAGTGTAAAAGGGCATGTGAAACCTATTGTGTCAAAAACTCTCCCTACAATTGATAGTACGTTTCGTCTTGTCACTGAGAGATCGACCAAGTCGATAGTAGGGATGTCACAAAACAAAGAAGCTTCATATTTATCCCACAGAAGGCCAAGTACTTTCAATGATTCGCTCACTGCTCAGTTCTGTTTATTGCCACCCTCTTAAGTCAAAGTTAGCACTTGCCATTAACTGAGTTGAATTTGCAATAAAGTATTCTGCTTCTTCATTCGAATTCATTAAAGTGACACAGTTGTCAACATAGAAGTTTTTCAGTTTTGTAGCCACTTCCTTCAAAGAAGGTTCACATTGATCTAAATGAGAGTTGATCACTGCTCCTGAAAGAAACGGACTGTATTTTAGTCCGAAGACTACTCTGCAATGGCGAAATTTTCTTATTTCCTTTTGTTCCGAGTTTTCCCACCATAGGAATCTTAGGAAATCACGATCAGATCTTTGAACAGATATTTGAAGAAAAGTTCTTTTAATATCTGAGATAATCCCTATTTTTTTTTGTCTAAATTCGAGAAGCAATTTCGGTATTACTACAATTAAATTTTGACCTTTTGCTAAACAGTCATTAAGTGACAGGAAATCCCTTTGCTTGCACGAAGCGTCAAATACAGGCCTTACTGCTGTTCTACAGTTATCTTTGAAGACCGGTCTGTGCGGAGGATAATGATTGTCAACTCGTTCCTCTTCTTCTGTTACTTCTTCTATTACTCCAGATTCGAGCCACTCTTCAAACACTGCATTGCATGTTTCAAATTTATCTTTCAACATGAGCTTCTTTGTAGTGGAAATCAATCGTTTTTCAGCAACTCCTCTGTTACTTGGTAAAGCTTCTTTATCGTTGATCTAAGGTAAACCGACTTCATATCCATCATCCACCCTCTTCAGAGTCGCGTGAAAGTGATCCCACACTGTTCCTTCTAATTCTGAATCAGTTTTATTTTCTTTAGAATCTGAAATTTCCGGTGCTTCTAGCTTCCACAGGTTTTCTATGTCACTGCTGTGAGTCAACACTGACGTTATTGTTGAAGACATGGACAAGGAGTTTCTTTCTGAAACGTTATCTTTTATCTTTCCGATGATTGTCCATCCAAGTAGTGATTCCACAGCAGTCAGCCCATTTTCTAATTTCTGAATTCTTCCAGCTAATAGAACACCTGCGACGTTAGCTCCAATAAGAACTTCTATTTTCAAACACGTTTTTCCTATATCAGATGCATGGATATTTTTCTGCCTTAGTTCTTCTATCCAGGCCGTAAACTGACTACTGGTCCACAAATCTTCGACTGTTCCAACAAGATTAGTCGTCTAGAAAAATCACCTCTTAGGCTTCTAACGTTTACTTCATAGCGTTTGTGAATTTCTCTCTTTGTGGTTACTCCTCCAAAATGTGCGTGGTATAGAGATTCAGATCCAATTGCGTGGCACCCTATGTCTACATCAGTCTCCTCTAATATGTATGAACGTTGCGATCCTGTGTCGATAAGTGCCCTTACTGCCTTTTGTTTACGTCTATATTAATTAATAGTGTTTGAAGAACCACTTCATCTAGGAAATTGGTGCTCGCAAGTGATACGTTTTGTGTTTCCTCTTCTTTATTCTTTTCAATATCATTGCTCTTTTGATTGGTGGGAAAATCCGGACGCATGACAACCCAATGTCTTTTCGAGCATATCAAACATCTTACATTTGTCTTGCATTGCTTGGCTCTGTGTCTAGTTTTGAGGCAGAAGAAGCAACCCTTCTTTTTAATTTCATCACTCTTTTGACTCAGAGGCATGTTCTGAGCAACAAAGCAATCGCAACTTTCATGATTTTGTTTCACAAAATATGCAAGAATTCTTCTCACTATACTATAATTGGTTGCTTTATTATGGCCTGAGAATAAAATCATTTGCTGTAGGCACGGAATGTGCCACTATGGTACTTTTTATCGTTTCTACTTAGAATCTTTCTTGGCACCCGAATCAATTAATTTAAATCCAGCTTTTGCCAAAGAAATTCTCTGCTCTCCTTCCACTTCATTCTTTAAAAACAATAATAATTGTTTCGATATCTCAGAGTGAGAATTTTCTGCTGTAATTATTGATGCATGATTTCTAATCCAAACTCGTAAAATTTCCTCGAGAATGCAAGATTCCACGAGCAGAAACAACATTGCAGCGTATTTATCGCTTGTCATTCCTATTGACTCCAACGAACGTAAATACGACTCTAACTTGCCATTTTAATAATCAAATCTAATAATTTCCGAATATAGAATTCTACAAACAATTCTTCCCTGCCGAACATATTTTTTAAGCTTTCTATAACGTTTTCATAATTTTCGGCAGTTGCATGAAAGCTGTTCACAATATCACGTGGTCTCGTAACGGGTACTGTCGCTTGAACGAGATAATGCATCTTATCATCGTTTTGAATTTCTCTATCTTCATGTATTCGCCGAAATTGTCCCCAAAACGGTAAGCAATCTTTAATTTCGCCAGCGAATTGTTTTAACTCTATTTTAAGTAATTTCCGTTTCTGTTTGTTCGAATTCGGCGGCACACTGCCAATGGATAGTGACGTTTGGCGATTGAAGAATAATTCCGTTTCTACTCGTATTGAATCTAATTTTTCTTTGTATTCTTCAACTTTCGCCCATTCACTTTCAAACTGATCAGTTGAAGAAAATTCCGAATTTAATATTTGAGTATCAAATGCATTAAGTTCAGATAAACGTTCTAAAGTAACAAGTTTCGCTTTTGCAGATTTTTCATCAGGAATTTCCTTTTCAAATTCCTGCAAAATTGCATTAATTGTTCTCGTAAAAGACACTGTGACAGGTTTTCGTTTCTCAATTAACGATTCCATTTCAATAAAGTTAATAAAGTTAAATAGAATTCGATAAAAAACAATAAAATTACCTTGACTTGTTTTACCGATCTCTTCCGTCGTCACCAGAATTGTTCGAGATTTGCAAGAACTAACCGTTCTCCTTTCTCTTAATAAACTTAAAATAAAATAATTTTACATATAAAATTCCAAAGCGTCATATTTATTTTCAAAATCCGTAGAACTACAACAAACTACAATAAACATCAGACAGTTGCCACTCTTACAGTGACAAACTATGAAAAGAAAGATAACAAGTGAGGCTGGTTTCTAACAATAGTACGCCACTTTCATTTCCTTTCTTTTAATTTTTCGGGCCTAATAATGATCGAGGGCTGAGTGAGTGAGTGAGTGAGTGCACCGCTATAATGGCTTCCGACCATGGACATGAACCAAACGGAATTATATACCATCACGGCGGGGAAGACTCCAGAGTAACAAGGTTGAATATCATATACTAATAACAGTTTTTACATATTGTTAACTGCAAGGCACTAAGCGTTATTCTAGTTATCTGCTTTAAGTTCTGAACATTTGAAACATTATAATATTATCCACGGTTGTTTCTGCTTAGGCAGTGTCCTGAGATTTTCTCTATTTTATCAAGGGCTATTCTGTTTT